GCCGGTTGAGCTATAGGCGCCGAGCCGGTGTGTTAAGTTTTAACCAGGAAAAGTTACCATGCTTGCCCAGGGGCTGGGAAAGATCTTAGAAGTGCTTTGTGGACACAGGATGATGTCAAATATCAGAAGGAGGTAGTGGTTTGAGAAAGGTGGAGGAAGAGGAGATTTGAGTTTGGATGGTAGAATTTGAGGTATATCTGAGGCATGAGGGAGCTGCTGAAAATGCTGATCTGGGGTTTGAGGAAGTTGAGGATATAGGTCACATTTATTGGAGCCATCTACTTAGAAGTGACAGTTGAAACAATAGCTGGATTGCTGCCAGTAAAGAAAAAAGAGAGAAGACAAAAGGAAGTGACGATAAGGCCCTAAGGAGGCCCAAGGAAGAAGAACCAGAACAGGCTCTTCCGGCCTTTCCTCCCTGCCCAGAGTGGGACCAGCCTGGTGGGAGAGGCCTAAGAGCACAGAGGTGACAGCTCATGGTTCCATGAGATCGTAGACTTTCCAAGAAAGTGAAGAGTGGCTGCACCCAGCCTCAGAATCCCCAGACTCATGCCCCTGTCCCTCAGTGCCCTGATTCCCAGGAGTCTTCCTCAGTAAGCTCGTCCTAACGTTGGGCTCAGAATCTTTGGGGTTTTTTTCCCCCACAACTAGGGCCAGGTGGCATTGGAACACTTTGACCATAAGGGAGCCCAAGGGGTTCGTGGGTGCCTGTGGACAGTTTTGTATGAGCAAATCCCATGGCAGAAGCCCTTGCTGCTGCTTTTCTTTTCGTAGCACTTTGGAGGGCAGAAATTTCAGCTGAAGATTACATGTCTACAAAGAGGGAAGACTCTCTGCCCCAACTCCTCCTAAACCTAGGCTTCTGAGTTTCAGGGCCGGGGAAGGGATCTCGGGAGCTTCCGTGTAAGAGGAAAGGGAAGAGGGAGCAGGAGATGAGGAGGATGGGAAGGGCTGAGAGAGAGAGGGGGGCTGTGGAAGAACTGAAGCTCCAAGCCCCGCCTCCCCGTCCAGATGCCAGCTCCCACCACTGTGACATGCTAGAACTCGGGACCCCTGGGTTCCTAGAGCTGTTTGCAGAAAAGCAGCTTCTCGGCTTTTACCCATGGCTGTCACCACACAGGCTTTCTCCAGGGAACCTTGCCTTCAGCAAGGACATGAGAAAGCGACAGATGTAGTTATGAACCAATAGCTCCACAAACTCCAGGAACCTCCTGTAAGATAGCCAGGCCTAGGAAGGGCTTGGTGACTCCATCCCGGTGCTATTATTTTAGCATTACATATGGCCATCGAGTCATTTCTAAATGTGTTTGGTGTCATGAGGAAGCTTGGGAATAGCCCAAAGGGTGGAAAATTACCATAACAGGCGAGAGGCCCATCAGCTGTGGGGTCCAGCCTCTCTCTGTGTGGGGATAATTTTAGTGGCATCAGACCCCCATCCACCCCCGCCCTCCAGCTGGAGCTACTTCCAGCCCTGAATTCCTCTCCATTTTTGCACTTGTCTAAATAATCCCTTCAGAAAGGAGGATCAGTGTCACTGGGTTGACAAGAGTCAGCTGAGTGGGAGGGCAGGCGGGGATGACTGCACCGGCGTCAGCTGAGACCAGGTTTCAAGAGGGAAACGGGCGCCCCACACTTCCTCCCACGGGTGCTTTCTCCTGCTCTGCTCCCCTTGGAGTGTTTCAAGCGCCCACTGCATGGAGCAGTCAAGTGGTTTTTTTTTTTCCACCTCATGTGGCTCCTAAAGAGAAAGGGAGATAGAGGTTGAGATCCATGTGTCAAAGGCCCTCTGTGAACTTAAACCAACCCCTTCTCAACCCTGACCTCTGGCCCTTTGCAGCTTTCGGGGGGAGGGGGTGGTGTTCACAGGGGTTTGCACCCAGTGTCAGCTCTGGGAGAGGAGGGTTGGCAACGTGGTGGAAGGGGGAATTTTTTTGGTTTTTCCTTCTCCCTAAACAAGGAAGCTTCCTGTTAGGGCCTGGGGGCCAGAGATGGATGGCGAATGTCCTGCAGAGCCCAGGATCACCCTGCCCAATAAACACCCATTCAGCATCACAGGCCAGTAGCGCCCCCCACTGAGAGGCACCCTTGCTCTCTAGGGACCTTCCCATTTCTGACAGTTCACGCCTCTCGGCTGGCTGCCTGTGGCCTGGGAGAGTCAGAGTGAGCAAATGGCGATTCTCTGGCTTCGCTGCATGTGTTAGCATGAAAGCGGCTCATGCCCACTGGAGTGACCACAGGGAACACTCTGCTAAACTCCAGCCAGCGTCCCCAGGGCCCACGAGAACCTCTTTGTCCTCCATATGGCTGTTTCCCCCACTGTCTCTCCTCTTTTCTTTGCCTCCCTTTTTCTTTTTAATTTCCGTTCTTCGTCATGGATCTCCATGGCAGCTCATGGCTCTAGTGGGCTCTGGTTCTCTGCTAGAGACCCGCAGGGTCCCAGAGGTTAATAAGCCATGCCTTAGGATAAGGTCTCCTTTCACGCCAGGGCCACAAGCGGGACCTTGGAATTGCTGCTCCATTCTGTCAGGATTACATAGGTCCAGGCATCTGCTTGAGTGAGAGCAGAGGTTATTTGATGAATAAATTT